ATATAACCTAGAAATAAATGGTCTAATTATATTTTTAATTTTTATAACATGGTGATCTTTAATATAAATTTAAGAAAAATAATTTAAAGATAGGGTTCATACAATGAGGCCATTTGAAATCTCTCTCTCTCTGCTAACAATTTCTTTTAGTAAATTTATTCTAAAAAACCTAAAAATTAAAATTTTTGAAAAATTAAAGTATTATTTCGAAAATTGGTACTCATTCTAATAATTTCTACATTGATAACCAAAATTTTCATTTTATTTATTAATTTATTTGCATTATAAATCATGTAATATACTATTTTTCTTAAAGTTGTTAATAATACATTTTAAATTAGATGATATTATAAGATATTTTGAATTTGTTACTATTTGTATATTAAAATAATTATAAAATGTAAACCAACAATTTCAATTTCAGTATATAATATTACAGTTAGTTAGATTGTAATAATTTTGGATTATAGTTAGTTAAGTTGTAAGATTTTGGGTTTTTTTTTAGTGGATTAGGGTTTCCGCCAATTCGAGACTTTAGTGGCCATTTTTTCATGAATTTAATTCATTCTTTATTGTAGTCCGTGTATGATTATATACTTTATCGATGATAATTATACGATTTTTCTTTTGTGTGATGTAAATTTAATGGTTAACATAAGTTCATATAGGAAAAGAACATATATATAATTTTTCTTTTTTGTGATGTAAATTTAATAGTTAACACAAGTTCATATAGGAAAAGAACATCTCAATATTCGTAAATTGATGAAAAAAATGAAAGTTAATAATGTAGTACCCCCATTTCTTATTGGATTTCTAAAAAACAACATTTATACTGAATTTTAATAAATTTTTTGGATTTTTTTTAAGGTTTAATCCTACTGCTTCGGTCGATTCTCGATCCCAATTTTTTGGGTGCCCGATCTGGGGCACCGATCCGTTTTTTAAACCACTGGTCTCATATTAACGAGGTTGAGCTTTAAATGACCAGTCCGGGTGAAACACATAATTCGTTATTTACAAGTGAGGAATATAGCTCCGATCCTAGTTCTCAAACCATGGGTGTAAAGAATCCTATATCTTCGGTTACAAAAGGACGACCTAGAGTAAAGAGGTTCAACTCTGCAAATGAAAACACTAAGAAGCCTAGGTAGTGTAAAGCATCCTCATGTGGTCAAAGTGGTCATGATTTTTGAAATTGTCCTTTGAGAAAACTTGAGGTTGGAAAAGAAGGTTCATTTAGAAAACATCCAAGTAGCCAAAAAAATTACAGAAAAGAAAAAAAAAGAAGGAAATCTTGAAACGCTCTTTTACCATGTTGGATCTTCAACTATGACTTATGTGGTATCTTTTAGAGGGGCCATTTGTCTTTGTAGTTGTATCCCATGAGGGCATGTTTTGCGAACCATATAGTGTGTTTTGTTGAAGAAGACATCTATTTGTATTTTTTGGATCATAAAAATATTTTAATGAAAAGTTTATTTTGATGCTCCTTTGTCAACTCTCTCTCTCTCTCCAACTGAAATGAAAAATGAATATACTATGAGATTTTAAGCTACCCGAATGATTCCTTAGAAGAATTGTAAATCTTGTTTGGGAAGCCTGTTATTCCTTTCCAAAGGTTCAACAAACATCTTTGTTTGTTTTCATGTGGCTCTGGACTCTATGTGCTTGATCTTCATCTTGATCAATACCATGAGAGCAAGGAGAGGAAAGAGTTTTGAGGTACAATCAACATATGTTAGTGTTTTGAGATGGTATGTCTTCATTATAGATATAATTAAGGAACTAAAAGTTATTGTCTTCTTGTACTTAGAAGCCTTTATGGCCATCCATTGTCATGAAAAAATGGTTGAACATTAAGCCTAAGGTGCATGCGTTTAGTAAAGATGAAGTTGATACTAAGAGTGAGGACTAGGGTGAGTAAACTGATGTATAATGGCTAGAAGAGACATTAATTGGACTTTATTTCTATTAATTTCTACCATTTTATAATTCTAACTGTATGCATATTGTGTAAAGTTGCAAGAAATGTTGAAAGCGAATCCACTAGAAGAGAACATATGAATGAATTTAGTGTTGTATACAGTTGCCTGTATGGGCATGGCACCGACTGTGTGAATGATGGTACCGGTAGCTGCAATCTTTCCCTAACTCCCATGATAGGAAGGGAGTTAAGATGTAGATGTTTGGGTAGTCGCTCCCCCATTCATAGAGATTGACACCCAGAAGGTGTAACACTCATAGCCAAGGTGGCGTAAGGGGTACTGTCTTGTAAGACCATTGCCCATCAAAAGCCCCAAAGTGCGTTGGGGACTGTGTGTGTGCGTGTGAAGGAATTACTGAATGAGTCACCCATTATCATTGTCTTCCCTTCTAAGTGATGGTAGAAGTTCTAAGCAATGGGATTTGCTTGGCCTGATGGATAAGGCTTCTACTTCGGGAGTAGGTGAATTAAGAAGTGAGTCAGTTGGTAATTGTTGATGCTTACCTTCATATGTTGATTTGCTAAGATTTGTATGGTTAAATGATTTGATTGACCTCTGCTTCATATCATATATGATTGATCTGAATTGTTATTGCTTCACGATGAATCATGCACGACATAAGGATAGATATGATTATGACATACGACTCATGTTTTATAAGAATGACATAGCACCTTGAGCATTGTTGTGAGATGATATTTATAGGCAAGAAAGCATGACACCGTGATCTACCTACTAAGCTTTACCACTCACCCCTTTAAATTTCATGTGTAGAGTGATAGCTCGTGGGTTGAGGACAGGCGATTTGATGATCACGACTAGCAATTGGAGCACCGTACTTCTTGAGGAAGCTTCGTTTTGATTGTATGTTTTAGATGGCAGTTGGGCCATATAGTTGTTTTGATATTAAAGCTATGTAATTGTTGCTGGGCCTTTGGTGCCTTGGAATCTCTTTTAATATTTTGGATATATCTTATGGAAATTTTGGGACTTGGATTGTCTAGTATTTTTTGGGTTGTGTGCTTGTTAGTTTGGTTTTTATTTCATGGTTGGATTTGATTTCCATCTTTTCAAAGCGTTGAGCGCACTCCCGTCTGAGTGGTATTCGCTATACGTGGTCACGGACCCTCACCCTATCACCCTTCGGCATGTGCGGTAGGAGGTAAGGGGCGGGGTTGTGACATAGCCTCTCCATGATCTCCAGAGCATGGGTAGAAATAAACATGATCTCCCTTGTAGAAGCTTGATATCTCTCACCATACATCGCCAGGGGCATCATAACATCCTCCACTCAGGTCATAGCTGGGGACATCCCTCTGCCCCCACTTTGCTGTCCAAGAAACTATATCTTACAAATACACCTCCTCGAAGCCTATGCTGACCACATGAGGCACCCATATGGGAGTATAAACATAGGGACCAATAAGAGGTCCAAACTGCCACCATACATGCTTGGGGTGGTAAGCCTTTACCACATCCATGCAAATCAAGTGCGAGCGTGTGAGGAAAATAGGTGATGACTCCTCATAGATATAGCACTATCCTCTATAGGAACAATCTAGGTAATAAAAAAAGAATAGAAACCCATAGTCAAA